TTGGCGGTTGACAGTGATGGTGCAGGTCATGGCGCTAATGTAGCAGCCGGTACACAATACGGTGCTATAAATACGCGCAGAGCGCGACCGCCAGCAACTCGAGAGACCTTTTCAGCGGTCAGCTGCTACATTTGGTATCGAGACCTCGTGAAAATTCACGATCCTGAAGTCGTCGGTTCAACCCCCACCGATCACGTTCGAGTGGTATTTCGGGTGTGGCGACTCAGAAAGCGAATATCGCACAAACTATAAAGTAGCTGAACCGACTGGACTGTCTCTGTGCCTGAAAAATCTGAAGACGGCTAGGCGCATGTGAGCCGGCACATGACGTGACGTGGAGTAATTACCCACTGCCCGAGGGTAGGCGAAGGTAGGCACAGGCTGGCGGTATACGAGGCTCTAAGGGCCCGGGACGGTTCCCTTCAAAGGGGGGGGAATGTAGCAGCCGGTACACAATACGGTGCTATAAATACGCGCAGAGCGCGACCGCCAGCAACTCGAGAGACCTTTTCAGCGGTCAGCTGCTACAGCTAATGAGCCGGATTCACCGGCAGGTACTGCACAGGACACAGCCCCGGTGCAGGTGCCACCGGAATTGCAGCCATACCCACCAAGGGTGCAGCCACGACCTTGCCTCAAGGATCCGCGGAGTGTGGAGGTGCCTCTGCATGCGCCTTGATGCGGACTTGCCAAACCGGACCATGTTCCGTGATGATGCTGGCCCTGACCGATTCACTATCTGCACCTCTTGTGAGAAGGCACTGACGGGTGAGCAACTTCTTTGGCCCGTCTACATGTGCTGTCCTTTTTCCGTTTGCTCATGCTGTTGTGCACCTTTGATCCGTCGGGCCGCCTGATTTGTATGGGCGAGATGCCCCATCTGGGTCATACACGTTGTCATTAAACCCTGCCTAACCGCTGCCCGCCTGTCACCACTCTCGTTGCAGCACGCCGAGTGCCTGAAGCGGCTCTGGCGCGAATCGATCCAGGCGACGTGCCGTCTACAAATCACCTGGGCGACCCATTGCCTGCACCCACGTTTGTGGAGAGTCAGCTGTTGGGCCGGGGCCATCTCATGCAGCAGCTACTGATTGTGCATCTTGCGGGCCGCCCCCCCGAGGTGTTGCCGTGTGCCGTTCAGTCACATGGCATCGCAGTCGTAAACCCCGACCCCAATATGCTACGAGGCCAGCTGCCCGCGCGCGTTGCGGATTTCGCAGGCGCCTTCACGGTGGTGTGCGTGGATCAAGTCCGAGACCGACAGGACTTGCTGGATCGCGTCCGCCGTGCACCAGGCCTGAAAGTTCGAGGCAACGTCATCGTCGCCTGGGTGCGTTTCCTTCAGCATAATGACGAGGATGAAGGTGCGGTGGATGAAGAAGCTCTACAGGAGTATGAGCGTATGGGATGTGTCGCACGAGTACCAGAGGCACTGCTGCAGTCCGCAATCGGTCCTACGGATCCGGAAGTCGCTGGCGTACTGCGGAGTACATTCCTGCACGACCGTACCGGCGCTGCTGGTGTACGACAGCTGCAGGAGACGTTGCAAGGAAACGTCGCTGGTGAGATCATTCAGGGCGGTGGCGCTTATGGATCACCGCTTGATACAGGTGCGACTTTTCACGGGGTAAATCAACGGGGTTCACAAATGGATGCAAATTTGTATTGCGCTGTGTGGCTGTAATGTGTCAAAAGTAGGCTGGGCAGGGAGGGTATGTGCATGGGATGTGCCTGGCATGCGCCTTGATGGGCCAGCAGCCTTGTACAGGCTGTGCACCCCATCTGGTAGTGCTGGGTTGACCAGGTGTGCGTGGTGCAGGTGGCGAGCCAGCACCTCCATACAGGTGTATGTTCCTCTGCCCCTGCATTCTCGCATCCTGATGTTGTTGGAGTGGTTGTGCTGTGTGGCTGTTATGTGTCAGAAGTAGGCTGGGCAGGGAGGGTGTTATATATATATATATATATAGCTAAGGGGGCTGAAAGCCTACATGCGTTCCTCTCCAACTCACGGAATTCATCCACCTGCTTCACGCATATCCTTCCGACATTGCTATTTCTGTACTCCTACATCTGTTATAGGTCCCGATGGGCCCACGGCCGGAACAACTGCCTCTGACACTCGTATGGCAGGTATGTATGTGATGGATACGGTACGAGCTGTCCAACCTGGTGGGCTGGTACGTGCACGACTGTTTCTCTGCACCCGTTACGCTGTCGTATTGTACGGCCTGTATGTACCTGCAGGTTTGCACTGCTGCTGTATGTGTCGTCCGGACATGTTCACCCACCTGTCGGATTCCGGACCATTAACTATTATGTTTCTTACCACCTCCTCATCTGTGGTGTATGCACAACCGTGCCCATTTTCCGCTATAGATGCTGGTGCTACGGGCTTAGCGCCTGTCGCGGTCGTGGTGCGCCAACCAGCCGATCCTGGTCCTCTCCGGGGTAAGTGAGAATCTGCAGATTATCCTATTAGTCCTATTTGTTCTGTTTGTCCTACTATATTCATCGACTGACTTTGGCACGTCCTGTGCATAAGTCACGAGTATCACACCAGTGCTGCACCATTTGCCCGTCTGGCATGTTAACCTTATGAATATCCGCCCCCTCCACCCAACGCAGCTGATGCCGATCTGGGCGTTCCGAATGAACTGGAGGTGGTCCTTCCGCAACCAGCTCCTGTTCCGACGGACGGCAGCGACTTTGATAACCGGCCCAATGTGGTGCATGACCTGCTCACCGGGCGTGCACGTCTCGCATTCGCTGCTGGCGGCCGTGGCGCTCAGGTCCTGGATGACCGCCATCCAGCCATCCTTAACGTCTGCTTCCCGGTCTCGTTTCCATATGGTTTGTCCGGACAGCGGCCACCGGGTATGTCGTTCGCCTCATATTGCAGCCACCTCGTACGGCGGGTGCCACGGGCGCAGTTCAGCAGCAACTTGATGCTGCTTGCCCGAATGTATGATATCAGCGTGCGGCAACAAAGCATGGCGCAGGTAGGAGTGGTCCTGCGCATGCGACCACGACTGGGTGGACCAGCGGCACGGGTACCGAGGGATGTGGTACGCACCATGGCGGACATCTTGGCGCTGCCATACTGTCACGCCCAGCGACGGCAGCTGCTGTCACAGCAGTCCCCCATGGTGCGTGCCCTCCTGGATGGCGCACGTGCTAGCCTCCTGCGAATCGACCTTACAGATACCTACTACAATGGTGCAAAAGCCATGATGCATGCGGCTGCCCTCACCATCGGCTGGCTGCCATTGTTCTTCAACCTCAACCCGGCGGACATGCACGCTGGCTGCGCTGTTGTAGCCTCTGGTCAGCTTATAGAGTTCGACGACGCCGGTCGTCCGACCCAGATCAGCAGCACGGTGGAAAAGTGGCGCCGTGTCAAAGAAGACCCGCACAGCTGCGCGGCACTGCTCATCGCCACGAAAGAGGTGTTGGTGGAGCAGTTGTTTGGCTTTGCACCTGGAGCAATGCGGCAGACTGACCCTAACTGCTTCTGTGGGGTCGTATTCGAGGTAGTCGTCAAGGTTGAACAGAGCGGGCGATTGGCGCTACACTTGCACGGAGTCGCACATGTCGAGTGCTTCGCGCTGGACAACCTTCAGGCATTATTCTGTGGACCCAACTGCCGAGCTCTGGCGCTTGCGTATGCGCTGTGCGAAATGTGGTACCCCTCCCCATACTATGCTCCGACACCAGACAGCGGGACACAGCCTCTGGTCATGGGTATGTCTGATGCGGAAGCGCAGCAGCACGGTCTACCCGTGCCAGCGGTGCAGGCGGACTGCCCACCTGCAGCATACAACTTCGAACGACTCGCGGGGTGTGCAAACGGCGGACTGCCGCCTCCATCACGACATGCCGCCTGCCGTGCCCATCATGCTGCCGTCATACGCAGTACCCTCACCCACAGCCACAGTTCGACGTGCAAGCGGCATGGCTGCCGCGGCACAGATGACAGCTGCGGCATGGCCTTTCCCCGACTCATCCGCACAGCCTTTCAATGGATCGGTACCACCGGCCTATTCTTGCTGCCCCGCCTGGCACCCAACCTCGTGCCACACATGCCTGCCATTGCCCTCGCCTTCGGCTGCAATCATTTGATGTCCCTGGCCTGCGAAGTCGACCGGGATTACACAGCTGACATCGCTGCCCAACTAGCGCGTCCTCCCAATGAACGCGGTGACTGCCCCCTCCTGCAGCCCGCCATCGACCGCGCCCGTGACGCCGCGTACTACAGCTCCAAGTACACTGCAAAGACAATTGAACGCAGCCAGGCGCCCCTCACATGTGCCGCCGTGAACCGCGTACAGGACTTCATGATGGCAGGTCACCAACCCAGCACCACCGGTGATGGACCCAGCACATTTGGCAACCTGTGTACCGTGGTGCACCGCATGACGGCCACTATCACGGCCGGCATGGCACTGGTCGCCTTCAAACTGTCAGGCCACGATACGTTCGAAGCAACCTACAAACGCAACTACCTACCGATAGGTGCCTTCACTGCACTGGCATCCGAATCTGCCGTAGAACCAGAAGACGCGGAAACCGGCGTGGAGCTTGTAGAGGCGGACGAGCATGGCGACTACACCCTCACCAGCATCGTACAGAACTACACGCACCGTGGAGTGGAGCTGAGCGGCTTGGACTGCAGCGCCTACAGCATCGCATCCAACTTCGAGGTGAAACGTATAACGCCCGCACAGCACCCCCATGCTGCTATCCTTAGTGCCCAAGTTCTCCCTGTACCTGGCCGCCGCAAGCGCAAAGCCCCTGGCGCCGCTATGACCCCTACTACTGACGCACCTCCCGCCACATCTGGCACCCAGCCCACTGCCGCTATGGCATCCCCCGCGCCAGCTGGCCCATCTGCAGAACAGCTGCCCACGAGCCCGATGTCGACCATACCTCCCAAGAATGTGGCCTTCCAACCAACGCACCCGCTGTATCTGACACACGTTCTTCATCGCCTGGTGCAGCCGAGGTACGTTCTGCTGGGCGGCGCACTGCCCCGCCGCCCGCAAGCAGGCAGCACCACTGCAGCCGCCGTCGCCTACTACGCATTCGTCTTAGGCATCTTCAAGGCTCACCGCGGCCAACCGGTAGCTGCTGGTCAGACGGTGAAAGAGGCGTATGATGCATGGTGGATGGACCTGGGATCCACCGTGGCAGGCCAATCGTACAGAGCCTGTGTGAGTGTCCTGCTAGACAACATCGAAGCAGAGCACCTCGCCAGCGCCCGGCGCCAGGCCGACTACAACTTGCGACGCCGCCAGTGCCGCGTCGCTGCTGCAACTGCCGGTCTCGCCCCAGACAACAGTTCCAGCGACCCGGATGATGACGACCCGGAAGCTGCACGAGGCCGCCTCGAACCTGACCCCGCCACACAGCCGCCGCAAGATGATCAGGTTGAACGGTACGACTTTGTACCAGGCCAAGGCGACCCGACGCTAGGAATCAACCTGTCCGATGTCGCCCTGACGGACCTGTACGACCGCACCACAGCAGAGGGCCTGTACGCATACGGTGCAGCTCGGTGTTGCCGTGTACTTCCTCTTCCCAATGTGCTCGGCGCCAACACCAACCCCTTCATCCGCCGTGTACGCACCACTGACATCCCGCTGCTGAGCGAGGCTTCCAAGCGCCTGAAGCACTACCTAGTCATCTCCGAAGGCACCGCCACCATGCCAACCACAACGGACCGCACCCCCCGTCTTCGTTTGGATCGCCGCCCCGGCTACCCACTCGTAGCGGTCATCATGACCGACGCCCAGCAGACCAACCATATCACAGCGGGAATGCCAACTTACCTACGTCTACCACAGCCACCGACCATCGACGACACCGTCGAGCTCTTTACCCTGGCGCCGGATCAGGCCGTACCATTCATGCTCATGGCACGTTATTTCGACCGCCGCAACGAACCTGATCCAGGCGTCCCGCCGCAGATGCTCATCATGGGTCCTCCGGGCACGGGCAAGACTCAGTTCGTACACGCTCTACTGTGGTACACGTATCAGCATGACAGTCCCGACTGGGCCGCCACATGTGCATACTCCTGGGCTGCCGTGATCGCCTTCAACACCCCAGTACATCGCAGCCTATCGACCCACTCAATGTTCGGCATCTCAGCCAGTCAAAGCGGCTCCCGTGGTGCCAACCTTCCCAAGCGCGGCGCCCATGCCGGCCTTCAGGTCAAGCGTAACATCGGTGATGGGGCTGTCCTCATCGACGAAATTGGTATGCAAAGCCATGAGCACCTCGGCGCCATCAGCCACTCCTGTACAGCCAATGTGCCGCCTCCACCACACCTTGGGCCCGCCCATCCCAGCAGCCGTGTCTTGTCCGGTCGTGCCGCTGGCGGAATCGGCGACCTGCTGCAGCATCCTCAGCCAGGCGGGTCACCGCCATACCGCTACGCCGCCAACGTCGAACGAAACCCCCAGTTCAGTCCCTCGGCACCGTCAGCACAGTGCCGGCCGGCCTCGGTTGACGAACGTGGAGGTGACCATGCTGACGGCAGCAACAATGACAGCAGTGATGCCGACGACAACACCAGCAACCGTCGCACTACTGTGACCACATGTCGCACTCATCGCCCCGTGCCACAAATGCACACCCGCCTACACGACGGCTTCAACCTGTACCGTCAGCTCGGCGGCACTGTATTCATGCTGCAGAAGCAGCAGCGGCAAGACAACAGCCCATCTGGCCAGCAGCTTACCCGCTTCGCAACCATGTTCGGCGGCATTCAACCCACTGAAGCACGCGTGGCAGATCTAGTAGACGCACTCAACCAACGTGTCATCACGGATCTGTCCGATCTCACAGACCTCGAACCCCGTGTCGTGCTGCAACGGAACGAACCCAGGCACGCGCTCAACACACATCTCCTGATGCTCCAGGCGCGCCGCAAAGGAGCGCGTTTGGTCAGCTGGAATGCGGACCACGTCCCGGTTAGGCAACATGGTGCAACCCAACAACAGCCGCTCTCCCATGTCGAAAAGGCTGTCGCAATGCGAGTAAAAGACGCCACCTTCGACCACACCACCGCCGACACTTGGTACTACGAGGGTGCACACTACACCCTACTCGACACCACTGCTGCCGACGCTGGCGCGTGCCACAACAATGAAGTCGAGGCATGTGGCCTGCTTACCGACAGCCGTGAACCACCTGACGATGGCCGCGGCCCGTACTGGCGCCTCCACTATCTACCTGCAGCCGTCTTGGTCCGTCCCATTAAAGGGCACGCGCCCAAAGCGGTGCCAGCAGACTTAGCGGACTTCGCAACCAAAGGTGCTGCCTTCGCCATCGTACCACGGCCCTCGCCGGCAGCAAACATCACCGTGCCAGCCGCCAACACCGGCACCACCACCAAAAATGTACGTCGAGTCAATGTACCGCTTGGTGACTACTATGCCGTGACCGACTACTTCGTACAGGGCCGTAGCTTCAAGGAAGAATGCTGGGTCGCGGACCTTTCCGTCCCGCCCGGTGGCCTCAAGCGTGCAACCATGTACGTGTTGCTCACCCGCTACAAGACACTCGACCACATCCGCCTCCTGCGCCCACTCTCTACCACACCCGACGAACGAACACGAGTCGTCAAACAGTTCATGGCAGCAACCAAGCTGGACCCCGACCTGGCGGCCGAACTCCGCCTCCTGGATCGCCGTGCTACCGAAACCCGTGAACGCTATACGACCGAGTACAAACACGACCGAAACCTAGAGGAGCGTTGGACCTCCGCAGCCAACACCACCTGACACGTCCAACAGAAATTTCGTCGCCGCTACATCTCTGCCTCGCCACTGGACGGCGTTAAATGCCAGCGTTGCACGGCTCTCTAACCGTCTGACGACACGCCCGCACGGCTGGGTGCATCCCTTGCACTTGTGGGTTCGACTCCCGCACGGGTGTACTACAAGTACACGCACGGACCGTCGTACTCGTGCCGCCCAGCCGGGGGACTACGGCCCCCTCGCGGGCGAAGCAGCCCGCGTCTAGTGACTTGGAGAGTGGGGGCCGTGTGGGTCGCGATCCCCATGTTATGTACGAGGTACGACAATGCCAGGGCTCATTTCCGCGGTCGTGCCCGAGTGGTTAAGAGGTCTGACTAGAAATCAGATGGGATCTCCCGCATAGGTTCGAATCCTGTCGACCGCGTCCGGTGGAGAAAGTATTTGGCCAATTTTAAGACGTGGGGGCAAGAGTGCAATGAAGTAACACGTGTTAGACCAGTGCACGTGAAGACCTGCAGGACACTCTCTACTTGAATGCATTATCAACACCAAAATATAGAGTATATGCATGTAGCTCTGCAGCTGACTGAGAAATCTCTGCTGGGTCTGAAGAACAACCTAAAATGAAGAGGGTGCTGAACCGTACCATCAGGTGTTATGGATGCTAGACCTTGAAAAATTGCTGGAACGTTTCAGCAAAGAACTTGGCACGGCTGACAAGGATGAAGATGCCGCAAAACACTGGTGAAGGCGTAGGAACTGCCAGGCTAGTTGTCACAGATGAAGCTTTACCCCCTTCAGCTATTAGATAGGATTGTAAGTATACACAATGCCCCTGGCAGGCACATACTGTTGCGTGGATGGGCTGGAGAATGCCAGGGTGTATCTACATGCGCTCATTGCCTACCTACCTCCCTGCTGCATCTATGATTCCCGACCACCTGCCTGCCTGGCTATCTGCCTGCCTGCATCGGTATGTTGGCTACGCCAGGTGGGAGCCAAATACAGGTGTTGCCATCAAGCAACCAAACAAGCATCAAGCAGCACTCATGGGGCGTATACTTGGTACCGGTGTTGCAATGCAATATAGGGCTGTCCCTTCAGAAGCAAGTGTAACACAAATGACTGAAGCAAGCCAATCTAAATTTAAAAAGTTGTCGCTTGCCTGTCCAGATGACGTAGATGTTTTGGTCGCGGTAATAATTGCTGGCCCCGGGGGTGGGTGGAAACTCCCTCGTCCTGTCTGTGTGTCAGAACCCGTGAAACCCATGCAACCCTCAGCAATCCCATCGAGGCCACCTTTCAGCTCGCGCTGAGATTTGAACTCAGGTCGGTGGATTCAGAGTCCACAGTGCTAACCACTACACCACGCGAGCAGTGTACTGCGTGTACGACATCTTAATCCTAATCATAATGACCCAGTACAGTACTTCCGTAACGCAACGCACAACACGCCGTTCTGCCGCCTATCTACCTACCTTCCTAGTGTTGCTGTGGAAATATTGGAGTGACACAATGTTTTGGTCCGGCAAGCAATCCATTTTTGGCTGTTGGAGAGGCGGGCACCCGGGTATATATTAGAGGCCTCTAGGGGGCCTGTAGCAGTCGCTCACCTGACGGGAGGACTGACAGAGCGGAAGCGTGGAGTTATTAGTCCTCGTCGTTGTAGGAAGAAGTCCAACCAAGCGGCAAGGACTAGCGTACATAAGATGTGTACGTAACGGTTAGAGACGGCGGCAGCGGAGTCTTGAACTCCGAACACCTAGTAATGTGATACGTCAGTGTCTGGCCAGAACACCCCGCCCGGGTAGTTTATATCTCGGCCTACCTGCCGGATAATCTCTACTACGGACCTTGCCGTACTAGGATAATGTTGGTGGGGCCCGGGGCCCCAGCCCGTTAGATTCGCTTACGAACAGCTGCCCAGTTCGCGACATGTGACGAAACTTGGAACATGTACGAAACTTGAGTCAGATCGTTTAACAAATTAACAGTTATTGTTAAAAGTAGTCGTTAAAATATTCTAAGGGAAATGTAGCTTGCTACAGTCTCCCCCCTCTGAAGCGAACCGTCCCGGGAGCGTCACTTCTTCTTAGAAGATTTCCGTCCCTTGGGTTGTTCCGGGGCTTGAGGGTGTTTCTTAGACGCCAGCTTGCGTTCATATTCGTCGATGGATTCAGCCAAGGGGGTAGACTGGCGAAGGGATTCCTCTGGTTCATAGGTATTATGACTAGAGTCGTAACCTTCCCATTTAATCAAATACTCTCGACGTGTTTTTCCACGTCCCCCTCGGACTGAAACATCACGATGGTCGACAATAGCTTCGACCATAAAATACGGCTCACCCTCAATGACGAGTGGCGCCGGTGGCTGTCGCTTAACGTCTTCTTTGTACAATTTCAACAAAGAGACGTGGAAGACCGGGTGTAGGCGGGAGGCCGCCGGTAAGTCCAGTTTTACCGCAGCTTCGCCCACGCGAGCGACAACCGTGTATGGGCCGATGAACTTAGGCATCAGCTTCTTAGTTCCAGGGGTTTTTAATGTAATATTTTTGGTAGATAACAGCACTTTCTGCCCAACCTCGTAACGCACTGGACGCCTATGCATGTCGGCATCGTCCTTTTGGACTTGTTGCGCAGCCAAGAGACACTTTTTAGCTTTGCTTATACGCTCACGAAGCATCGCTTCTTGCTTCTGAGCGGCAGGCACCTTAGTTTTGAGGTGAAGGTCAACCGGCACACGTGGTTGTCGAACACCATTCAGGGAAAACGGAGTTGTCCCCGTTGCCTTCTGTTTTGAGTTGTTTATGGCAAACTCAATCAGTGGCAAATGCTCATCCCAATCATCTTGAGTGGGTGATATGTAGTGCCTGAGTGTCTCTTCCAGAACGCGATTCATGCGTTCCGTTTGCCCGTCTGTTTGCGGGTGAAAAGCTGTGCTCATATAGAGGTGGGTGCCCAACAGGCGAAATGTTTCCTTCCAGAAATTACTTGTGAAGTGAGAGTCCCGGTCTGAAATAATGTTCTTTGGAAGGCCGTGCTGCCTGAAGATGGTAGCCACAAAGAGGCGGGCTACATCTTCAGCTGTAGCGGTTGTGTGTGTGGGAGCAAAGTGCGTCATTTTGCTCAGCCGGTCCACGAACACTACAATCGCATCGTGCCCATTGCGGGATGTCGGTAGCTGCGTAACCAAATCCATTGTCACGCTTTCCCACACCTCCGTTGGAATGGGAAGGGGCTGCAGTAATCCACCCGGCTTAGCATTTGTTGGTTTATTACACTGACATTGGGGACATGATTTGACGTGTTCTTTAACGTCAGAGTCAAGCCCTGGCCACCAATATGATTGTGCGATCGCTTGTTTGGTGCGGTCTATACCGCGGTGGCCTGCGTAAGGGACATCATGATACTCGGTCAAGATGGCTCTTCGCAGTTCAGCGTTGTGAGGGACATAGATCTGGTTTCCCCGATACCAGAATCCATTCCTTCGTTTTAACTGCAGCTTGGCTACTCTTGATTTAGCAAGGTTTGGATCACCGTCGTACCCGCTTTTGATTCGGTGTCCCAAGTCGCTGTCCGCCAGCGAGGCCGTGAGCACATTAAGCACCGTGTCGTGAACCCGACTAATAGGGTCTGCGACATTAATCCGTCCGGGTCGGTACTCCCAAGTGAACTGGAATCGAGACAATCGTTCCAACCATCGAGCTTGCCTTCTGGAAAGTTTATCGGCGCTTTTCTGCTCTTGCAGATAGACCAAAGGTTGATGGTCCGTTACTAGGGTGACATGACTCGCACCTTCCAAGTAACAACTCCATTCTTCCATTGCCAGGACTGGGCCCAAGCATTCTTGATCTGTGGTGGAATAATTGTATTCCGCGCTGCTGAATTTAGAACTTGTATAAGCAACTGGTCGGTCGTCTTGTAACAAGACAGCGCCAGTGCCATGCAGCGACGCGTCAGACCAAACTACGAAGGGTTTGTCAAGCTCGGGGAGTTTTAATACTGGTGCGTTTGTCAAGGCATCTTTCACACCCTGAAAGGCAGTATCACACTCCTTTGTCCAGTGGAAGGGCACTTTCGCACTTGTTAGGGTTGTGAGGGGGGCCACGAGAGAGGAATAACCCTGGATGAACCTCCGAAAATAATTGGCTAAGCCAAAAAACGCGCGCAATTTAGAGGCGTCGGTTGGTACCGGCCATTCTTTAACAACTTTAACTTTGCGCTCGTCGACTTTCAAGCCGTCACGGCTGACTACGTGGCCCAGGAAGTGCAGTTCGGTCCGGTTGAACTGACACTTAGACATCTTTGCCTTGAATTCGTGCTTTCTAAGCAAGGACAACACCACCCTTAGGTGTTGTTCATGCTCGGCCTTGGTCTTACTGAAGACCAGAATGTCGTCCAAGTACACCAGCACAAATTTGCCAATGTGTTCGGCGAAGATCCGATTCATCACCGCTTGGAACGTAGCAGGGGCGTTTGTGAGTCCAAAGCACAGCACTTTGAACTGGTATTGGCCCATTCCCGGAGCGATAAAGGCCGTTTTCGCAACATCCTCTGGTGTAATGCGAATTTGGTTGTAGCCCTGCTGTAAGTCCAGGGAACTAAATATCTTAGCCCCTTGGAGTTGATCGAAGAGGTCAGTAATGTTTGGCATAGGATACCGCCGCTTGATCGTGATTTTGTTTAATGCACGGTAATCCAAGACCATGCGAAGGCCCTGACCGTTAGCTTTTTCCACAAAGATAACGGGTGCGCCGTAAGGAGAAGTAGAGGGTTCTATGTAGCCCTTACTCAACAATTCGGTGACCTGTTTGCGGACCTCTTGGCGCTCTAATTGAGTCAACTGGTACGATCGTTTAGCAGGCGGTACAGCCCCTTCCACTAGTGGAATCGTATGACCTACTTCGCGATCTGGAGGAAGGCCTTTGAGCTCTTCGAATACGTCCTTGTATTCGTCAAGCAACCCTTGCAATGTTGCTTCGGGGATTATGTCGGTGTCGGGAGGAAGTGTCTCCGCAGACGCCG